TGGACGGGTGCTCCAGGCCAGGAGCACTTCCACGACCTACGCAAGCACCATCCGCACTGGAACGACAGTCGCTGGAGAGGTGATCAGTGCAACACTGAAAAGCTGTCTACCCATTTCTAGCCCTCTGTGTGGAACTCCATCAGTCTCCTTTACCAGTACAACACAACAGTCCTCAGAGCTGGCCCCGGGTGAGGGGTGGAGAGCGCTTTCGGACAGACACGCTCCACTTTCCTGCATGGATGCTGTAAGTTCGCTCTCCAAGCGTGGCCACAAGCCCTGCTGCCTTCACCGCACATACAGCTACTGGTTTACACGGGTGCTCATCACCGCATTCCAAAGCCATCCAAACCAGAATCCCATGATTCTCCCTTCCCAGGCAGTGGGTGAAGAACAAGGAAAATTTGATATGTTACCCATCTCCATTAACTTTACAGGTTTTAATCACCTGCAATCTTTTGCCAGAACAGCTTTCAGCAGTTCATAAATTCAAACCCCTATGTGGACTGTAATGAAGCTCCCGTACCTCTGATGATTACTCGTCTGGTAACGAGAGGCACACTTGGGACTCTTGCTGTAGCTTTATTTTTTCCTTTTGTACTCATTAGTACAGACATTTTAATGAATCATATTCTGAAGAAAATCCTCTTATGTATTTGCTACAGGCAGAAAGGAAGCCTTCCTCGACTACTGAATGCTAGTTTCTGCTCTTCAGGAATTTAATCATGCCATATGTATAATTTTGTTACGGCTAATAATCACTGGGGGGCCATACCAATAAAAATACTCTGTTGGCCAAAACAATACATCAGCCCAAATTTAACAAGGATAAGATTAAATGCGACAATCCTAGATGCAGAAAATCTTATTTCCTAATCACAACCCTTACAGGAGCAGTATCCTAGGTAACTTCTACCTGCTTCAGACCTGGATGCAATCTACATTCCACCTGATGTCATCAAGTTGCACCTAAGCTTGCCATCTGGGAGGTATTTTTTTAGCCTGCTGGCCTCTGTGCTCCTACTATCACCCGCTGCTTTATGTTCACAGAGTTCATCCCAGGTGGCTTGCGACAAACTCGCCGGCCACAGGGCAGTGAGTGAGAATGTGGGATACTGCGACAGGCGCTCGCCCCCAGCAGCACCCTCTAGCTGGCTCTTGGGTTTGCAGGGTCCTTGCAGCAAGGCACACCATTTATGATTTCTCCTTCCTATAAGCAGCTACACTCAAAATGTGCGTTTCAATAATTGTTAAAAGAGGAAGGACCTCTGAGCTTAAATGTTCCTTTTTATTGTTATGGTAATTTCATTTAGCGAGCACTGTCTCCGATACAACCCTTCACTCATTTAAGTATCTTTTCATTTCATTGATAGATATCTCTGTCTTTACACTACCAAAGCAGGGGTCATCTCAGAAACACTAGCTTAATAAAACGGCTCCATCAGTTCCTTAAGAACTTGGAGATCTTTCTAGGTCTGCTTTGCAACTGCATATTAATCTATAGTTCAAATACTGTCCTAAAGACAATACAGAGAACCTTTTTAAAAAAAAAAAAAATCACTCATTTACACAAGTGCTGTAATTCTAAGCATCTAGCCTAGAAGTGGATGTGCTCTCTGAACTCTCCTCACTGCTAACAGCCACTTATGGCACCCGCGCATCGTCCCACCAAGCACGACCCTGGTCCCAGCTACAAAGCCAGGTTTGCCTCAGTCTTCATCAGACGTTTTAAAACTAAATATATTCCATATGCTTCAAAGCAAAACTGAAGATTCCCGTGAAGACTTCTGCATGCGGTGGGTTTGTCCCCAGGACTCCTCTCTGGTAAGGTCAAACTGGCAGAGTTCTGCTACTGTTACAAAGAAAAGAAATGCACTGATGGATCTCACGGTCATTCACCAACAGATCTTTGTTTCCTCTCCCATCTTTTAATTAATGCCGACTGACAACTCCTCAAATCAGTCCAGTTACAAGCAAAATAGAAGTTGCCTTC